TTATTATTATTATTATTATTATTATTATTATTATTATTATTATTGTTATTATTGTTATTATTATTATTATTATTATTATTATTATTATTATTATTATTATTATTATTATTCTCCAAGATGTATTACGTACCACCCATTTCATCTGCTGAATTACCCAACCTCAATTGTACTTACTCCTTTGAAGTAGATGGTTGGAAATCTTTGACTATTAGATTTGAATACTGAATGTCTGTAGAAAAAAAAAGAATAACTAAATTACTTCGACTCTGCTAAGTTATCTTACAGATTTATATTCATTTTACCGGTAACGAACGACCTTCATAATTGATCGCAATGCAATCGTAAACCTATTTTATGTAATTATGCTAGGTTTTTCATTTATTTGGAAAGTTAAAATGGGGGATATAAACTTCTGTGCATCGTTGGACTCCCAATTGTGTAATAAGGTATCTAAAGTTGAGTAACCATAAAGTGACTGAACCTCAGTTTGAACATAACCTAACTGTCCTTAAATCGAACTCAGTCTTCTTGTTACCTTGACGTGTAAGATTTTCACAGATTAAAATTAATACGCTTGAGATATATCTTCTTTACAATGTGCTCGTAAATTATTTCTAGGTGTCGTAGGAAAATAGTGTCGACTACCTCTTATCAGAATATAATTACTCATTTGATTTGATTTATTTCATATCGTAAATGAAAAGTTATGATATCTGGGAGATAACCCTCTCCTAAAACTGACTCCGCCATTTCCAATCTCAATAGCTCTCTCTCTCTCTCTCATAGTTTCAATTGCGCATAAACATATCAAAGGTCAAATCGTTTACATAAGTGCTATTTAAATAGTGTTTGCAGTCTATATGTATTATGTAAAAAAATGTCGTTAATAAATGCAGACAATAAATATACTGTGTAATTGGTTTTTCTTGTCATTGTATTGTCAAGGAATATTGAAACTTGAGAGTTTGAAAACATCCCACCAATCAACTTACAGGAATTGTTAAACATTAAGAATCTACTTACTTTGATGGGGACTTCTGTGTTGAAACAGTTAGGTATTTTTCTATTGGATACTCTGTTGGGCAAACATTAATGTCCTGGAAAAAAAACCAATGCTATCAATAAGTACTTCTTTTCATCCAAAAAGAAGTTATTGCTTTTTAAACGAGAAATTAGAATGAGATAAAATTGTCCATGCGAACAAACGTCGGGCGTTTAAATAATACTGTTACTCTGTATGCTTTACATAACAGATCAGTTTAATTATTGGCAGGTAATATAAAACAAGCCTGGTAAATCAGCGAATTATTTGTTTTGATTTGTGTATCATGAAGTTAAATAACTAAGGTGTCCCGTTAAATTTAATTATTTAATTTATTATATTTGCTTTCTACACTTTGACAGACGACGAATATATTTGACGGTAATAAATTTTATTTATGAGTACCTGATCAGGCCTATAACAAGGTGTAACTGCGTCTATAAAGTATTGACAGTCGCTATACTGACGTAAGTCAATGATCATATCTAATTCATTAACTAATGATATAATAAAAAGACGTCAAATTTGTAGGCCCTATATTCGTTGATCTGACGTAATTATTAAGGAAACTTTGGACTATGGGTCTATCAATGATTGGTTATGACACAGAGGTAAAAACATTTTTATTTTTATACCGCCATTGTTATGGTCATCGGATTTGGTATCTCAAGGCCTGTAACATGCTAGCACAAGTTACTTCTAGAATTATAGGCCTACAGCCATTGTGATACCTGCCGACGCCGTGTTCACACTGCATGTCATTACAGAGGTGTAAACGCGCACGTACCGTTGTGTGAAATTAGCTTTAAGCTAAAATTGTAATCTTTAATATTACAAATCGGCATTATTGGATAAATCGTAAGGTTAATATACCTTGTCTCTGAAGCCTGGTAGCTCTGTTCGTTCGGTATTTTTAAATGTATACGTCATATGTTTATGTTCAAGGTTATATGTTAGATCATGTTGTTGATAAGCTCCCGGAAGTAATATGGCACCACGCTTCTGTTGCACCTGCCTCTTTCTACCTTCGCTTTTGAAGGCGCACGAGGCGTCCATTGTCTCAAGATCAGCCAAAAAATCTCTCGATTCGTACGCACCTGGAACCGGGGTCTCCTACAAGATAGTAATACATCATAGTGGTTACACTTTTTTTTTTTTTCAATAAGAACCAGTAACATTTTGCCCAGTCTCAGTGTTCTTTATTTTTGGACGATTTCATGCTCAAAATGTTCTTATTTTGTTCTTATTTTACACACCTTTCAAACTTAGAAAATTACTATTGTACACCAGTATACTGTACTGGAATCGAGATGAAAAAATGGCCCCGGAAAAAATGGCCCTGAAAAAAAGGCCCCGGAAAAAATGGCCCAAAAAAAAAAAGACCCGGTAAAAAGGTCACATAAGGTAAAGATATAATTTTTGGGTTTTCTATTTAAAAAAAGAAATAAAAACCATTTTTGACATTTTACCTCAGCCTCAATTTGTTCTTATTTTGTTCTTAATTTTTAAGCAATTTCAGCTTCAGTTCTTATAAAATGTGTTCTAATGAAAAAAAAAAAAACTGTACGTGGTTTGAAAACGATGAGTACTTATAAATATTGATAATAATTATAAATAATAATAACATCAACCGTAAAAACAACAATAATAACCGATTGTAATATATTTTTTCCTTTCTTTCATTTTAAGTTAAAAAGAAATTTTCAATACTATATTTCCAGTTCAATTACAGAGGAAATAGCAGCTATGAATTAATAAATGCATATGTAACACATACCTCAGAGGTATTATACGATCGGTAGAGTCATGGAGTCTAGAGTATATCCATTTATTAGAAACGAATACATATTTTTGAATATAAATCTGATGCCGTTATTCATCTACCGGGAGTACACAACACATTGGTTCAATGACGCCATTATTGTTATCCGTGGTTATGGCATGCATTATTTATTACTGCGAATAACTTATCGGATTAGATATGCTTAACTTATCGGATTAGATGTACTTAAATTACTTAGCTAAGATTTACAACGCTAATCCTTCATGCTTGGACGATATGATATAATATTTTGTGTGTGATGACATAATATGCAATTACAAAAATCACACTATATTTGTGAATTATAGCCTTCGCATTCAATTTGCTTACATTTTACAATAAAAATTATAACCGAAATTATATTTTTATAAGGCCTACTACTATTTTTGATTATTATATTATTGTTGTATTATATATTATATTTTATTATTACAAATTATTATTATTATTAACAGGTAATCATCCTGTCAATAGGACATTCTGGTTACTCACCCTTATTGTTGCTCGCCACCAGCCCTCACGACCGGACACGTGACTTTCGTAATCTTCCTTTAAACTCTTTCTATCCTGTAATGGAAATTGCGCACTTGTAGCTTAAAATCATAACATTACTGGCAAATAACATTAGAACATCCCGCATGTCATTCCCCCACACAAAAATTAGGCCTACTGTCGGTCGTTGAATAAAATGTCAATCTATTTTGTTATGCAATGGTCGTTTTAAATTATTGTGACAAATAGAGGAAAATACTGCACACAGGTGGATGCAGAAATTCGAAATAGAGGGGCCATGGAGGGATATGGAAAGGTCTGGAGACGGCAATAACGTTTTTGTGTAATAATAGGCCTATTGAGGTTTGTACACTAAGATAAAATCCAATACTTTGTATACAAAGTTCTTTAACGCGTACATCGTGCCATACCGTAATCCTCTCTTGATAAAAAAAATTTTACGCTCATTTCAATTCGTCATATTCAGTTTGGTAAAATGTTATTACACAGTGGCGTAGCTACGGGCAGTGCAAAGCACTGGGGCCCATGGCTCTTTAGGGGACCATTTATTAAATAGACCTAAAAATAATAATTTAAATAATTTCTAACTAAATAAGAATAAAACGGCTAGCGGGCCCCTCAATAATATTTTAGAGGATTAATTATTGAATACTATGTTCATTTCAAATCAGTAGTGGTGTATTCAAGAAATGGAAAAAAGGAAATAATATTAAAATTTAAGTGTGAGAGTGGTATTTCCGGCCATCTAGAGGTGCTATAATCATAAATTTTCTTATCCCAACCATGGTGGCCCAACTGGCCCTTACCCGGCACTGCAATTGTTACATTTTATGTACCACCAAGTTTCTTTATTAGTTTAAAACAGCTGCTGAGACTGAATATGTCCCTCTTAACATAGTTAAGAATCCGATTATCATTAGATATTTATTACAAGCTTATGCCTTCAGGATTAGGGGGTAAGAAGCACTTCTTACGATGGATTTTCTAAAAACTTCAGGGAATTCCCTATCACATCAAAGGGCACTGCAATTAATCTTGCACTGGGGCCCTTCGCATCTAGCTACGTCGCTGTTATTACCGATAGAAATGGCTGTATTTATATTATACCTTCATGCTCTCTTTCTTTAAAATGATGTGTGGATATACGAATAAATAGAAAGCTATTAACGGTATAATATTTCATATAGGCCTAATTTACTTTGGTTACATCGCCGAAAATTAAATCGCTTAATAGCAATTCGATTCATCGAATGTTTGGAAGTTACGAACATAGTATTCCCGAGTCATGTTTGTTTTTAATTGGTAGATATTAATGCGAGAGGTATTGACTAATTGCTTTTGCTTGAGCTTCGCTCGTTTAAATCTGCTTAATAATTCATCTTCTCTTGACCTTAAACTACACGCATGTCTTAGTCTTCAGTCTCTTCACCTTACTACTACTAGCTCAAGGGTGAAGAAAATGAAATACGCACAGCAGCAAATAGCCAATCAAGGATGCAGATCCATGGTGATTACATTTAAAAAAAGTACACATAGTAATCATACCAAACAACGGAAAGATGTACATTTTGAACTGAATGGATAAAAGCTAGGCTCCGGAGGAAAACTTTGCTCCATAGTATTTTTTTTTCTCAAAATAGGCCTGTTTTTTGTTTTTGTGTTTTTTTGTGTTTTTGTGTTTTTTTTTTGCCTTAGAAAAAATTAGATGTCAAAAATTGTTTACCTCCGGAGGTTGACATTAATGTAAAGCACATAAACGATGGTTTTATCAAATTTCCGTGCGACTGCCCAGTAGTGGCATTATTCATCGTAAATTACAATTGAAATTATTATGGGCTGCCTCAAAATTGTGTCAGGTTAGTAGTAGTTAGCATTAATGCGTTTTATGGTTGATGTGTCCGTGGATATTTTAATCTTAATGAGGACATTACTATAGGTTTAGAGGTTTTAAATCATAAACAAATCTTATGACACAGTTTTGGAAATTAGGACACAGACAATATAGACCAGCGGTGTCCTTTACTCGAGCACTGTTTCTACCATTATTTGATGTATTTATACACCACAGCGCTATGCGACAACATCGATTCAAGCCTATATATATTTAATAATCATATAAATGCAAATGTTATATCTATACTATAATTGATTTTATAAACCAATGAATCAATTAAATATCATGACGCCAACAACAGTATATTGGGCCTATATGTGCATGTTTAATATTTAGTGCTAATTTGTGTCTATATGCATTTTATATGGAATCAATCCTGATATTATTATTTTGGAATTTTAAACATTTATCAAACTGGCAATATCCACCGACCTATATAACTCATGTGTTGCCTCTGTGTGATTGACTGTGATTCTGACTACAGACGTAATCCAAGACAAACAACCATGTCATGCTTGTTCAATTACGTTACATCAATGTTGCTTCAAAAATACTTATGTAAGGTAGACTACACTCGTTGGTCAATTTGTTTTATTATCTTTGTGGACAATCAAATATGTACTGTGGCATGTGCAAACATCGTGTGGGCACTAAACGAGTTTCTAAAAAAACAACTGGAGTTTATTTTTTTTTGTGTGTGTTTTAAAATTGTATCGTTTAGGGGTAAGGTGTCGATTATTATGGTTAGGACGGTGTTCACAGATAAAAATGAGTTGTGGTTTTATAAGAGACTTGGTATCAAAAACAGGCATAATAATTATTATTTCAATCTCCGTACGTAATTTTTGATTGTCAACTTACCTTTTTAGGATTGGGGCGATTGTAAACAGACACATGCTCCTTCCTTATAGGCCTAGTCGGTGTTTTCGGTGTAGCAGTAGTTCTCTTCTCCGACTTCCTTCTGGAAGACTTTGTTGATAACTTACCTTTACTCTCGTCTAGACTATTGCTATCTTTCCCTGTCGGTGTTGCCTCCGGAGCCATCTTGGGCCTAGGTTCAGTATAATATAAACTGGGATTGCACCTCCCTCGTTATAATATCTAAGTTGTATAGTGACTATAACAGCGTAACGCTATCTCACGTCTGCCTGTGTAAAAAGGTATGACCCCTCGCCATGACAACCGTACACAATGTCTTATGTCATTCTAATCCCACAGCAGCAACGGGACATTGTTCCGTAAAGAGACTATAGACTTTTCCTTTTGGGGTGTGAAGTGAGTGTCAATATTTAACAAATCCCAGGATACACGTCATCACGTTTCGATAATACTGTAAATGTATCCTATGAGTGAGTTTGCTTGTTTAGATCGTCAATAAAATGAATAAATGGATGCATGCATGAGTGGAGCAACCCGGACTACTGGAATTACGGTTTCCGTTTGAGCAGTCACTTATATCAGGGCCGTATCCTTGATTGACATGAGGTGGGGGAGGGGGAGAGGAGTAAAAATCTATTCCCATCGAGGTCTAGGGTGGACACGTTTGGATCGCAATTTCAATTTTTATAATTACTATGGCAACTTAATCCCCAAATACTGGCTTAACGATAGACTGCTGGTTACAGTGTGAATATTTAAGAGTCATGTTCATCTATGTTAGCCCTATTACATAAATTAAATGTTATATTCAGTCATTCACAACAGTATTAAAAATAATGTGGACCTTTCTCGATTGGGGAGAGGGTGACTGAGGCCTGTTTAATTTTATATGCACATTACCTTTATTTAAATAGAGTAGGCCTTTCTAGTAAACATCCGCAAGGAATGCAAGATTCACCTCGTCTGTTAAGAAACACCTGCACAGACTCACAGAACAACACCCACTTCCTTTAATCAATTGGGCATGCGCTAGGACTAATGGATTTTTAAAGTACGATTACGAATGTCAGTTCATATTTTTCTATTAGATTCGGAAATTACGTTAGCCAATGTATTCCTTCCATATCTACAGATAATTCGTCAACACTTAGAGAGACCATGTATTATGCGCCATATAAGTCCCCACCACTACCAATACAGTACTTTATCTGACCTATAAGTCTCAGACATCCAGCACCGTAGCTAGACTTACTGATGGATGGGGATAAAAATGTTCAGAGGGAGCCAAGTACCAGAAGGATTCACACCCACTTCAGTCCAACCCGGGGTCCCACCATAGTTGGAGATGAGGTGAAAGAACAAAGGGTATGGCAACTCGAAAAAAAAAAATTTTTTTTTGAAATACGGTCTTAATTTGATACTAAGATGTCCAATACCAGGAGAGTCTACATCCATCTCAGCCCCACATACCAGGATTGGGGTTGAGACGAAAGAAATTTAAGAAAGTAGCAAATTTAATTGCCCGATAAAAGCATTGTAAGGGTATTTTTAAGTATATCAAGTTAAGTTTTCTCCTGTAGGCCCTATTATCAATAATCTCCCGGAAGTCACCTAGTGATGGTTATCACCACGGGCAGCAAAGTATAACTAGATGCATTAAGAAAGCTCATTCAACCAGATCTCCCGCGACCCCTGCTCTTCCTTGTAATTCTGTAAACCAACGCTATCCCGGAAGTCCGATTTTTCGCACCCCCTCCCTAAATTGTAATAAGAAAAATAATTGTTGTATTTTATTGTTGATATGAATTACCGGTAGGATTTTTTAGGTATGAGTGCAATTTTCAGGCGCCTTTAGGACCATATTCTCAAAATGTCCACATCTCGGCCCCAATCATCGTGGGGCTGGGGTGGTGTCGACATTCACACACCCCCTACCGCCAAATCCTGCATCCGCCCCAGATCTTCAGCTAGAAAAAGCAGTGCGAAATGCATTCCACTAGTCCATAATCATCCTGCATTCTCTTCTGCAGACGATTCCAAGCCCGTAGCCAGGATTTTGGTAGGGGGGTTCTTTTTGATACTAAAAGGGCACTTGCGAGCACCATTGGCTGGGGCCAGGGGCCGCCAAGGGACCCCGGGGGGTCTAGGGCCAAAACCCCGGTGGGGGTCCAGCATTCTAAGCATTTACAGGTGTTATTTAATTGATTTGAGAGGCCATACATTAAAAAAAAGTATATATTAAAGAAGTATTTTTTTAAACTACTTCTTTAGTACTAGAGTATTGGTAATTTAACAACAGT